TGCCTTGGATGTATCAAAGTCAACAATCTAAATGTGGGTTAAGGGGAAACAACTTAAAAGGCACTCCAATGCAATCCGACCCCTGTTATGTGATTTGGGAAAGGTAAAGAGGTTACACTTTTGTTTAAAACACATTACTCCTGCCTCACTGCCCTCTACTCCTACATTTCATGACTTCTATGATACCATACACATAGATGAGAAGTGGTTTTATTTGTCCAAAGAAACCACCACTTTATACACCACTCCCACTGAAGAGGACCCGTATAGGACTGCTCAGTCCTATACAAATTGATACCAAAAATCATGTTCTTAGCAGCTATGGGGAGACCAAGACTGAGGGACAATGAGGATGTATTGTGGGATAGGAAAGTGGGGATCTTTCCTTTCACTTATGAAGACACAACCAAAAGAAGAAGTAAAAATAGACCAGCAGGAACCTAGAGACAAAGGCATCAGTAAGCATTACATGTGAATGATCTACTGCCAGCAATCAAATAGACATGGCCAGATGCAGACAACAGGAGCATTATCATTCAACACGACAATGCAAGGCCTCATATTGACATTAATGGTCCTGATTTTGTGAGAGAAGGGACTAAGGATGGATGGAATATCCAACTGACATGTCAACCACCTAATAGTCCAGATCTTAATGTCTTGGACTTAGGGGTTTTTAGGGCAATAGATGCCATTAAAGATCATAAAGCCCCCAAAACATCACTGACTTAATACATGCAATCACAACATCATTTAATGAGCTGACACCAACAACACCCAACAAGGTATTCTTAAGCTATGAATGTCTAATGGAACAGGTGATTACACATAATGGTGGAAACAATTTCAAATTGAAGCACATGGGTAAGGACAGATTGCAAAGGCGGGGGCTGTTACCAAACAATGTGTAAATCTCTCAAGAACTGTATGAGACAGGCATGGCATATGTGGAAACTACCACATGATAGGCAGCAATGGAAGAGCATGAGTTCATGTTTGAAGATGTACCACATCTTCACACGTAAACTATCAAATTGCATTGAAGTCAGTTAAGTTTTTGTAATGGTGCACATATTTTTGGTAGTACTTTAGTAGTGCACATTTTTGAGAGCACATGTAGTTGGCAGACAATACAATGCAATATGTATTGGCCAACATAGTGTACACCAGTTTAAATTTTTGCCCAAATGTAAGAAAATGGTGATTTTTGGTAATGTATGCAAGTCAAATGCAATATTGGAATCTACACACACTGTTAAACATGTTCATGTCAAACATAAAGCACCACAATAAGGCCCCTATCATCATCAGTTAGAAATGGGGTTCACCATATCATCACCACGCATTTCACATTACAACACATATGCACTGCCATCACACATAATATGGACTATCAGGCATCATACATACATCACACAAAATCAGTGCAATAAAATGAAGGAGGGATTAAGATGAGTACTACCAGCCCCTTCCTGCCTTCCTCTACTTCCTCGCTGTCGTTGCCATCCTCTGCATCCAGCCCCATGCTGCCTTCCTCTTCCTTGTCCGACTGTCCATCCACCAGCACTCCCGAATTAACCTATTCTCCTTCTGAATCCTCGAAACCTTGTAATCCATCGTAGGTATCAGAAACAAGATTTGAACCATATTTCTTCCTGATCCAGCAGTCAGGATCAGTTTCACACAAAACCTCACTTCCGAAGCACACTACGTAAAATTTCAGAGGAACTTGGCTATGAGCTTCTGAAATAGGGGACGAAACTTTCGGATCTGGCTTTGGAGATGAGGTTTCATCAAGTCCATGTAAAGGTGGAGACGGTTTAGGATGAGATGGATCCATGCACAGGGAAGTGGTGGAGGCCGATGGACGGAAGGATAGATCTAAGTAGCGATAGATGGGTTTCAGAGAAGAAGGGTTTGTGAGAGGGGTTGCGATGGAAGGCTTTCTGCGGGGTAGCGATGGGGGAGCTGCATAGGGGTAATGACGGAAGGGGTTTACGAATGGTAGCGACAGAGGAGGGTGGAGGTGGGGGAATGAAGGGTTGCAAAAGGGGGAGAGAGATGCTAACAAAGGAGAGAGGGATGTGAGGTGTGTAGATGGGATGACAAAACCGTAGGGTTAGTAAATGGAGAAAATAGGTAGATGGGATGTGGGGGTAAAATAGTAAATGGATGGAAAAAACTTTCTAAATATAGAAAGTGAAACTTTATTTTGGTACTACCCGAAAAGGAAATGTGGAACTTCTCTTAGAACCGGAGAGAGTAATAGGTGTAGAGAGAATAGGAGAAGATGAAGATGAAGATGATTAGAGAGTAATAGAGAGTAAGAAGAATTGAAGAATAAGTGTAGGAAAATGTTTAGAAAATAGGAGTATTTATAGATTTTTTTTTACCGCCACCCCCCAGACCCCCTACAACGGCTATGAGGCTGCAAAGTAGCCTAATAAAATTAACAAACAAAAAAACATTAAAAAAATACATGTTAAGCCCGAGCTAGTTCACCATTTCAGGATTTTCAGCATCCCAAAGCCCGTCCCTTTTATACCCGATTCGGGGGGCCACTCCCGGTCCTGGTATGGCCCGTCGGGTCGGGTTGGGCCTGCCTAGTACCAGGTCGGGCCGACCCGTCCCAATCCATCCCTAGATATGGTGCACCGATACTTCACCCTGACGTATCCGCATATCCGATACGTATCCGATATCGATACGCGTCATGTACGTATTGGGCTATCTGTAATTTAATAAAACTATTGGACTGATTTTTAAATATTTCCGATACCCGTATCCGTGAACCGGTACGTGTATCTAACCCTGTAACCCTAATTTCATACATGACATGATGAAAATTTAGTAGCCGCTCAAGCGACCACAAGATGTGGAACATTGATAAAGATGATATCGAGAATGTTGCAAATATCGGAATACTATAATTTGTCAATTTGTCATTTGATGAACTTTAATTGAAATCAATCTTGTTAAAAGACCAAGTACAAATAGGGAACCAAAAATTTTATTCAAATTTAAATTTCAAATATTGGTACTTTAGTTTTTTTTATTCTAATCTTTGAAATTTTATTATAATTGTTGATTTTTGGTATTATTATTATTATTATTATTATTATTATTATTATTTATGAACCTCTAAATTATATATATTTCCAAATTATACCCTATATTATTATTATTTATAAATATACCCTGGTACCCGTATCCTACAGTTTTTGAAGTTGTCGTATCAACGTGCCCGTATTCGTGTATCGCGTATCCGTATTTGTGCAACATAGGTTACCCCTACCCCTACCCTACCTTACCCCACCCCGTCCCCCCTTACCCTTACCCCGACCCTAACCTTTCACATCCCCTATACCCCCTACTACCTATCCCTACCTCGACCCTACCCCAACCACCATACCCCACCCCGATCCCCACCCCCGACCCCTAACCTTGCCTACCCCTACCACAGTCATACCCCCCTATAGACTACTCCTACCCCTACCCCTACCAGACTCATACCCTATCCTATCCCTACCCTTACCCGGACCTAATGGGTGGGAGTAGGTAGGGGTATGAGCCTGCTGATCAAGGTAGGAGGTAGGGGTAAGGGTAAGGGTACGGGTATGAGGTAGGGGGTAGGGGTACAACGGTCGGAGATACGGGTAGGAGGGATATGGATTAGGGGGTAAGGGTATGGGTAACGCCGGGGTATATGGGTACGCGTACGGGGTGACCTCCACTTATGTACATGAATGTTTGCGTATCTATATATGTATAGAGTTATTTTTGACGTTTTAATGTTAAACGATGTTTGAAATTTTTTGAAGTAAACATGACCTTACAACACTGTTTACTTTATGCGCCGCTTATTAACGCGAGTCTTAATGAGCACCGTTTAGTAACCTACGAAGTAAACGTGTCCTTAATGTTTTAAAAATACGGACGACTAATTGTCCTTTTTTATATTAATTAATGGCACAAATATTATACATGGGGTTTCAAATGACACAAATATGACCAGATTTGAATTTTACAAAAAAGTGACCTGCTTTCTTTTCACCCAGTTGCGTTTCTCTTCTGGCTGAGGGACTCCATCTCCCTTTCTCCCAGCTTGTGCGATAGACCAAGATTCTGTGGACGGCCAAGGATGATGACGGATACAGCGATGGCCAGCGACAACGATGATCCACCTCCAACCTCTCCCTCTTCACCGAAAGGACACCGGCGCCTCCACCTTGCGCGTCACCGTCGGCCGCCTCCGTCCCCCGTCGTCGACCGCCATCTTCTTCTATTTCTCCAGATTTTTGATGGTGGACGGGTTATTCCTTTCCGATTTGGGATCTAGATCTGTGCATCGCCGGTTTGAATCAACAGTGGCTAAGGTTTCAGGCGGACGACGGACGGCAACGAGTTTAAGGTTAGGCGGGTGGGGTAGGTTGATGTGTGATGGTCGTTCATCTGGGTGGTGGTGGTTACTGGAGACTCTCACAGTTGAGGGTTGGGACTTGGGCGAGGGTGGCTGGGAGTGGGGACGAGGCAGTGGGATGGGCAGGGCAAGGGGTGGGGATTGGGGTTTCGGTGACTATGATGTGGGGACGAGGAAGGGGAGTGTACTATATATGAGGCGGTAGTGGCTGTGAGCAGGCGGGTGGCGTGCAGCGGGAGACGGGCAGCAATGACACATGTGATGACTACAGTGACACGGGTTGTGCCCACAGTGACACAGGCGTTGACTACAGTGACACGGACGGCGGCTAAAGTGACACAGACGGTGACTACAATGACACAGACAGCGGCGGCTACAGTGCACGAGCAGCGGCTACAGTGACACGGGTGACGATTACAGTGACACGGGCAGTAACGACAGTAACACCAGCGGTGACGGTAGTGACATTGGACAGTGACATTAAAATCTGTTAATGACATGAATTATGAATATGACCTTCTTAGTCATATTTTTGTCCTAATGTTAATGTGGTGATTGTGGGCACATTTTTTGAAATCATTTTTATTTTAGTAATATTTAGATAAAAAAAAACCCCTTTTATATACAAGGAAGGTCTGCTTGACAATTTTCCAAAATATCACCACATATCGGTTAGCCCTGATAATGTTGCCATCATAGACACCTATCACCCTCATTGCTATCAATGATCAACCATTCTTGGTGTATGTACACACTTTATTGTTTACACACTTCTGTGAAGCGTGAACACTTCTGTGAAGCGTGAAGTGTGTACAAAAGGGTTTTTTCCGACTATGATAGCAATGAGGGTGACACTCAGATGCCATCACTACTCACTACCACAATTTCACTACCAGCTGAGTAACACAGTCACTGCTACCACCAGTCCAACTCACTACCATGACATTACTGCACGGCTGCGCCGCCATCATGACATTAAACACCACCACTACTACTACCATCAGCGGCGTCATGTTTTCAACTCCACCCTCCTGAAATCGTCACCAAACCAACCATTTTATTGTCACTGCCAGCACCCAGCAGCTAGTCAGCAGCTAATATCAATCATAGGCACATCCTGTTGACTTTTGAGTATAACCAAGCATCAGTCATGCGAAAACCAAGCACTTAAATTTGCCCAGATTCAGTATCTAGATCTTCTCACGGATCAAGATTTGCAGGCTCACTGACCAAGATCACCTAGAGGCTATGAGTGGCTGTATAACTACGTCTTATAAAAACACAATAAAATCATGTCTCATTCTGTTACATGCCCAGTTGTGATATGCTAAAGTTGCACAGGGTAGTACTGCTCGGCGCTACTCATGCAGAATTAAAAGTGCCTACACTAACAGCTTTTTCTTGCTACAAATATACCATGAGCTTGAGCTGGAGAGAATGCAACTCAAAATGGCTGAACTCCTGAGACAGTTGATGCCAGTCCTTTAAAAAGCCTGCATGGAGTTTGATACGTAATTAGATAAATTACAACAAAGAAAACACAATCCCAAAAGCATTAAAGAAAGATGAATATAGAAAGATGAGTGCATGTGTGTGTCTGTGTGTATATAGACAAGATATTTCAACTAACAAATTAAAGAAATCACGTTGCCAGGCTATGAAAGAGACTGGATATAAGCATATATAAGTTATCCTGAGTGCTCACGTTAGGTTGGGTGCTCAGAATAGCAAGTCTCCATAACTAAAATGCCATCTGACACCTTGCTTAACCCTGTGGTCGAAAGAGGGTTCTCTTTAAGCTTGGTTCTTATATCTTTCTGGTTTTGATACGAGTCATATTTTAATAACTAAAATGAGATGCAACTATTAGACACCTTTCATTCTCCACTTGTTTCATTCAAACAGAGCTACATCTTAGTAACCAATGACGTCAAGTGTCATAAAATGCATAACTGAAATCCTAAACATACTTATCGGTACTTCATCCAGAGAGTATATATTGACTCATCGTCGCTTGAAATTTCCTGCAATAACCAACAAAAATTTAATCATTCTCACTGGTGGCCTATTGCATAAATATCTTAAACCAATAGTTCATAATAGTGTGTGCAGGTGACACTAAGAAATTAACATTAAACCATCTTCAAATCATCATAACAGAGGAGTTGCAGAAGTGAATAGCAATACCTCTCCATTATGAAGGCCCAAATCGGGATGCAGAGGATTCATATCTCCCGGTACAGGGGAGCAGCTTGGTATGTCCCCAAAAAATTCTGATAACATTAGCCCATAATCATCTTGAGCATCAGCAATCTCTTTTTTGTTATTTGCCTCTTTAGAAGAAAATCCATCCTGGGCAATATATCCAATTGCCGAACTGCAATTTTGCGATAAACGAAAAAGTGGAGTTCATCACACCAATAAAATGTTTGTGTACTTAAAAAATTGGAAGTAATGCTTAAGCATTTTCTATAAATAAATTCAGGCTTCAGGAAAATGCAAAAGTCAAAGCTAATATTAAGTTAATTTTATAGTTTCGTTTTACGTGTTCGCAAATATTACCAAGAAATCAACATTTTTTTTAAAAATAAAGATAGAAGAAGTTTAGTAGGACTAGAATATCCATTGTAAACAAAGTGACCGTTATTAGAGAACAGCATCTCTTAAGTGACATATCAAAGACAATGAGGGAGTACTAAAGAAGAATATTCCCAATTTCATTTGAAACAAAAAGGAAAAGACACTTCTTCAAAAAACAAAAAAGGAAAAGACACTAAAAAGTATGCATCATGCATATGTAACCCACTGTAAGGTGAAAATATTTGGTGTTGGGTGGGAGCAACAAACCCCAAATATCCTACCATTTTGGTGATGGAGCTTCAAGGGAGCAGCTGGTCAAGGAATTCAAAGGAATGTAATAGAAAAGAACGCTCACCTCTGTGGATCATTGAAAGGTTTGTCCTGCTCAGAATCTTTCTCCAAATCAATCACCTCTATATCTCTGCCCCCAAAACTGCATTTACTGTATTTGGTAGTCAAATTGTAATTTTCATTTACAGACAATCCGATGTCAGCTGCTGTAGTCAGTACTCCATATTCTTTGGTGCACGGGAACATCAGAAAAGAATGAGCATCAGAAATGTGATCTATATCAGAAGGTTCCATGTGATTCAGGTCAAAGGTCTTCATTGAACCAGGAAGAAGTTGCTTTCCGGAAAACTCAGTGGTAGGAACATCACTTGAAAACAAGGACACATCTACCAACTTCTTATGATCAGGTGACAACAATGCCGCCACCTCATTTGGCTCATGTAAACTCTGCTGCTTTGTCATTGAATTAGAGTATTGAAAGACACCTGTGTCTGTTTCATCATACAAAATCATCTCTCTAGGTCTCTTATTCACCTCATTAATGTTGTCAATGTCATCCTCTAATGGTCTTTTTCCACCTCTTTCTGCAGGGCTACATGTATCAAACATGTGTGCTCCCTCATTTTCCCCTTCCTCTTTTAGTAAAGAATGGTGTGCCAAAGATGAAACCCCGTCGCTGTTTTCTTCCATCACAGTGAATGCAGATAGTTTTGAATTTTCAGAACCACTTTGGATGTTTTCGCTAGCTGGTATTTTTGGATTTGCAGAAATGTCATCAGAGGAAATATGAATAGATATATCACCCCTGTGAGCATCCACCTCCTCCAGAAACGCACTCTCTAGAGTTTCATTTTCCTCAGCCATGGTACCAGCGCAGAGCTTTGGACCTCTAGCTTTCAATGAAGAGCGCGTTCTTGTGGGAACGTTTTCAAATCTGCAGAGGCTCAGCAGATCAATGTCATTCTTGTATGTTTGACTATCTTTGCCAGCACTCAAATCAATATCCATATCATCTTTGATGTCATTTGGTTCCGTTTCATTATCATCGCTACCATCCTGAATCTCCCCAACCTCGGGATTTGAGGTTTCCAAATTATCAGAGTTCTCAGCTAGATCCTTATCAGACTTCCCAGTTGACTCCGCTTTGCCTGGAGATTTGATATCTTCTGCTGGCTTCGTTTTATTTAGGGTGGACTTTGGTTCTTCAACTAAGCACTGAATGCCATCAGCTCCAATATTTAATTCACTTTCACTGGCCGTGGAATTATGGAATTTACTGTCACTATTTATAACAGCATGATTTTGATCTTGTTTCCGTGTGAAAGCATTGGAATGGTCTTCCATGTCCATGGAAATCCCAGTCCTATCGCGCAATGCCACATTTCTACCGAGTTCTTGGTCCTGCTCAGAATCCTTATAGAAGCCATGTCTTCTCCTTCCTCTTACATAACCTTTTGAAGACATGGAGCTATTATAATCACTGGGGTACAGTTTCCCGACTGGCCCTTCACCGTCGCCAGCTCTCCCCAAACGAGAAAGAGCTGACTTTCGACTCTCTGTGGATAACTTCATATTATCCCCATCTGGAATCACAAAACTTTGATTATAACTGGTCTGGTTCTTCAAGCTACCGTTCGGCAACTTCCCTGAAAGGGCACTCAGTGGCATCAATCCCTTTCTCACCAAATACTCTGCTGCCATTCGACCAGCTTCCATGAAAATATAACTTTTCTCTACTGAAGGCTGCCTCGGTTCAAACTGCCTCACTTGGCTACGCCCAAAACCACTGCGTTTACTATTACTAATATTGTTGTAGTTTTTATAATCAGAATTATACATTCCACGACTCGTCATTGGACCATCAGGTGAAATCGGTAAGGCTGCTCCCATACCACCCATACCGGCAGAACTAGACCTGTTATATGCAGTTGCTGGACTACGATGCCTCGCATGCATCTTTGCTAAGCCAAAGGTGACTGATGCCTACTACTACTTCAATCTCTCTCTCTCTCTGGCTTCCAATAGTTCTACAAATTCCTTTGAATCATTTTTTCACCAAAATCTTCCTTAAAAACCCCTATCACCAAATCTAACCTAGTTCCCTTTATGTAAAGCATCACCAGCGCAATATATCTTTCTAAATCACCTCGGAGCCTTTCTGTTCAGTTCTGTGAAGAGGATCTAAGAACTAAAAGTCAGATATCCTTCTCAAGGGTTATTAAAAACCTAAGAATTGTTAGTCCGAAAGCCCAAATCGACAAGATCTGTACAATTCAAGGAGTTTGATTCAGATCTGGAGATCACTGTAACCGAATCTTAGGTGTAGCAGCAGTGAGTTTTACCTTTGACTTGATTGCGTGGTCAAAAGGGGTAGCAGCAGAGCAGCAACAGAGGGTTTTGTCTTTGACTTGATTGCGTGGTCAAAATCAAAAGTGATGTATTAGGGTTTTCAGGTCCAAGTTCACATCAATTGGGAAACTCTTCATCCAACTTCACCGTCTGCATCAGAAAGTTCAAAAGATCAAACTTTAGCAACATCTATTAAGATGATGATCGCGGTCAATTTCATGCCTGGGTAAAAATTAGGATTCTGTCAGGCAAAGATTAATCCAGAAATAATCTGTGTACAAATTCCCATCCAATGTATGGATTCGCAAATCGATTGAAGTAGCTGCTGGATTAGTATGTTTGTGTTCTAATTAGAGATTATACGTGTTTTTCCTTTTTTTCAATTTCTTGGTGTAAGAAGACTAAATAAGATGAGATCGTCTGTGATAAAAAACAGCTGGTAGCTCATTCAGCGCATCCCCACCTTACACTTTTCTTTTGAGTAAATACAGTCTCCCAATTTCATTGATTGTAAACAACACAACGAAAGTCAACCCTACTGGTGTTTGAGTCAAAAAGTGAAAGTTCAAAAGAACTTTACTAGTAACAAGTCTAAAATTCTAAATTCTAAAAGCAAAACGGTCATGTAGTCTCTCGAACTAACTTAAAAATTGCAAATCACCTTTAGGTAGGAGGTTCTGTCCGGCCGTTATCATTTGGGGCGGTTATCGGTGAAATTTTTTGATCAAAACTTTTGAGCATATTCTTCATTAGGTCTAGTTTACTCATACCAAATTTCAGCTAAAAATTCAATCCGGAAGTCAGTCAAATGAATTTTTGAAGATAACTGCGCAGATAAACAGCGCAGTACATTTCAGAAAATCATTTGACTGTCTTATCGGTTGAATTTTTATCTGAAATTTGGTATGCGTAAACTAGACCTAATGAAGAAGATGCTCAAAAAAATTCATTCAAAAATTCCACCGGGAACCGCCCCCAAATGGCGACGGCCCGACAGACCTTCTATATAAGAGGTGATTTGCACTTTTTAAGTTAGTTCAAGGGCCTAGTACATGCATAAAGACACATGTATGCATGCAAGAAATAATATCAGGCTTAACCAGACCGGTAACCCTGACGGTATATTTATAATTAAATAAGTCTCCAAATACAATTAAGATACTGCCTAATAATTAATGCTAATTAATCTACACTATTACACCCCCTCAAGCTATGCAGGAGGATGAAAACTGCTGAGGAGCCAAACTCTTTGTGAAAATATCAGCTAACTGAAACTTCGTAGGAACATATTGGACCAGAAGATCACCATGAGCCACACGCTCGCGAACAAAATGATAGTCAATGTCAATGTGCTTACTGCGAGCATGTTGAATGGGATTAGCAGATAAGTATGACGCCGAAATATTGTCACAAAGGAGCCGAACCGGACGATGAATAGGAAAGCCAAGCTCAAAATCTCAAATAGGATAGACCGAATGTGTAGAGTATCCTAGACAGTGTATGCAATAGCTCGATACTCAACCTTAGTGGACGATCTGGAGACAGTGGGTTGTTTCTTAGAGCGCCAAGAGATCAAATTCGGGCCCAGAAAAATAGCAAAGCCAGAAGTGGAGCAGCAACTATCAGGATAATCAGCCCTATCAGCATTAGAGTATGCAAGAACAGAATGAGGATGTACTGAAGGCTGTAGATGAAGACCATGCGTGAGAGTGACCTGCAGATACCTGGAAATTCTTTTCACAGCCAACATATGTGAAGTACGAGAAACATGCGCAAATTGAGACACCAAGTGAACAACATATGTAATATCAGGTCTAGTCATGGTCAAATACTGCAATGCACCTACCATGCTACGGTACTCTGTAGGATCAGCTAGTAACTCACCATAAGTGAGAGACAATTTAGTTCTATTTGGAAGTGGTGTGCAAACTGACTTAAGGGTATGAAGATGAAATCTAGTGAGAAGGTCTAACACATATTTGGCTTGAGATAAAAATAAACCAAAGGATTTTCGTACAGCCTGAACCCCCAAGAAAAAATGAAGATCACCAAGATCTTTCATTGCAAAATAATTCCCTAAAAGAGAAATAAATTTAAGAATGAAAGAGGAGGAATTTCCAGTAACAATGATATCATCCACATATAATAACAAATAAATAATGTGATTGTCATGACGGAAAATAAATAGAGAATTATCAGCACGACTGCAAACAAAACCATTGGTTAATAGAAAACTACTGAAACGGTAAAATCAGGCCCGGGGAGCTTGTTTAAGACCATAAATGGCCTTGCGCAAGCGACAAATATGATGAGGAAACTGTGTATGAATAAACCCGGTGGTTGACGCATATAGACCTCTTCTGTTAAATGACCATGAAGAAACGCATTTTTAACATCTAGTTGACGCATGGGCCAACCATAGGAAACAGCTAAGGTAAGAACAATACGAACAGTGGTGGGTTTAACAACAGAACTAAATGTTTCAGAAAAATCAACCCCAACCTGCTGCTTAAACCCTTGAGCAACCAGACGTGCTTTATGCCGTTCCATAGATCCATCAGATCGATATTTAGTTTTATAAATCCATTTAGATCCAACCACATTTTTACCAGAAGTAAATGGCACTAATTCCCACGTTTTATTAGCAATAAGTCCATTAAATTCTCCAGCCATAGCAGCCCTCCATTTAACATCTTTATTAGCCAAAGAAAAGCAAGTAGGATCAGGAATTAAAACCTCAGTATTTAAATTAAAAATTGTTTTGGGTTTAAAAATTCCTGACTTGGAGCGAGTTTGCATGGGATGTATATTTTGAGTGGAAGAGGGTGGGGAAGGTGGTGTGTTGCCGTCAGCATCAGGCGCAGAAGTCTAGGATGCAGTCGAAGTCGTGCTAACTGTCGAAGCCAGAGATGACGCAACACCCCCTAGCGACAAGACGGGAGTGTGGTTTACCGGAGAACCAGTGTGGTCCGAGAGAATACCAAGCTACTGGGAGCTGGTCGGCGGTGTGGTGAGTTCGACGAGAGATGGAGAAAGCAGCGGCGACAACGGCTGATCAGGAGGCGGCGAAGTTAGCGGTGAGGACTTGGAAAACGATAGAGGGCAAGGTTGTATGGATGAAGACTTGGGAGAACTATGAGACACTGATTGAGTGTATGGAAAAATATTTTCATGGAACTTGACATGACGACTAACAAAGATTCTGCCCGTTTTAGGATCAAGACACCTGTACCCCTTATATTCAGATGCATATCCTAAAAAGACACATTGTAAGGAACGATGAGAAAGTTTGTTGGCAGGAGTGGCAGAAAAATTGGGGTAACACGCACATCCAAACACACGCATAAAATAGATGTCAGGCCCAGTGAAATAATTTTTGGTATGGAGAAACTCCAGAAAAGTTGGTGGATGGTAAGCGATTAATAATAAAAGTAGCAGTCAAAACAGCCTCAACCCAAAAAATAGCGGGTAAACCAGCATCAATAAGCATTGTACGTGCAAGTTCAATAAGATGACCGTGTTTGCGTTCAGCTAAACCATTTTGTTGTGGGGTGTTGGGACATGATTTTCGAAAAAGAATGCCATGAGCATCAAAAAATGAGCCCATACTAAAATTATCAAACTCACCCCCTCCGTCACTTTGAAAAAATTTAATTTTATAATCCAACAAATTTTCCACGTCTTTTAAATGATTGAAAATGCATAAAGACTTCACTTTTACGACGCATGGGATATATCCGGGTAAAACGGGAGTAATCATCAATAAAAGAGACATAATATTTTTAACCAGAAGAAGATAACACAGGTGATTGCCAAACATCTGAATGTATTAAAAATAATGGAGTACTAGAATTATGAAAAACATCTTGAAAGGGTAATCTATGAGACTTTCCCAATCGACACGAGATACAATCATGATTAAAAGATGAAAGACTACTAAGTTAACCAGACTTCTTAATACCATCTAAAACTCTAGTGCCGCGATGTCTCAAACGGCGGTGCCATAATGGTCTAGGTGTCGCGCTAGAAGCAAGAGCAAAAACTCGAGATGAAGACAAACGAACTAGGTAAAGACTGTTGTTACTGGAAACCTGAAGAAGAACTTACCCCATTGTTTTGTCCTTTAGAAAAACAGAATTTTTGTCAAAATCACCATGCAATTATTGGCAGAACACAATTTTTGTATGGATAATAAATTATATTTAATTTGAGGTACATGATAAACAGATCTTAAATGGATAGGTTTGGAAGGAGAATTAATGAAAATATCACCAATATTTTTATGGGCAAATTATTACCATTTGCAACAGTAACAGTCAATGGTCCATAATAAATAGATTTATTAACTAATGTACCTTCCTAAGGAGTCATATGCGCAGAAGCACCGGAGTCTGGAAACCAGACAGTGTCATTTGGGTCACTCATGGGTGCAACTAGGACCGGTGCTGATGGTTGTGAAAACCGAGAAGGACAAGAAACAGCTGAGTGACCCGGAGAATAACAAATTTGACAGGCAACTGGTGGGGGAATAGAACCAAATTTTCCATCAACTAATGGCGAGCCTGCAGAACCATGGTTAGCACCAAAAACATAATAGGGATGCGTATTAAACGATGAATAAACCGTATTACATAAAACTGTACTTGGTCTTCCCGGAGATGATGAGCTGGCCGAAGGAGGCTGATAATATGGTGGCTGAAAATAGCCTCCAGTGCCGGGAGGTCCTGGTCGTGGCTGATAGTATGTAGGAGGTGCGACATAGCCCTGCTGCTGATAACCTCCGCGGCCGCGACCCTGGTTCCCCCGTCCTCGGCCACGACGGCCACCTCGCCCCCACTGCCGCAGAAAACCACCGTGACCATCTGCTCCTGGTCCAGGAGCTGCATTCGGCTGAGCGGCGAAGGCCGCAGGTGGGGCTGCAGAATCTTGAGCGCGGAGATAAATGTTGTGTTGCTCCTGTTGGACTAATTTCTCACGTAGCTTATCAAACGTAAGTCCCTCCGGGAAAGCGGTCAAAGTAGTAATAATAGATTAATAATCCGGACCAAGACCAAGTAATGTCTGCTCAATAAGATCCTTTATAAAAACCGGAGAATTAATTGCAGCAAGGGCATCAGCAACTTTCTGGATTTCACGCATATATTGTTTCATAGACTGATTTTATTTCTTATTGGAATTTGTCAAAAGCCGTTTTAATTCTATGGAACGCGCTTAACTAGCAGCCATAAAACGTGATTCCAGACGGTCCGAGATGGTAGCTGAATTTTTGAGTGTGTGAACTTCAACAAGTATATCACGAGATAAAGTGGCAAACAACCATGAACGAACTATTTGATCCAACTTTAACCAGTAATAATACTCATTATTTACAACTTCTCTCCGAAAAGAATCAAATATAGAAGAAGGAGGAGTAGAAATTATACCATCAATAAAACCCATCACACCATGGGATACCAAAAAGGACTCGAATTGCGTGCGCCAGGACAGATAATCTTCAACCACATCAAGCTTGGTAGTAACAATATTGGTAATATTCGGTGCTGAAAATCACATGGATTGAGCAATTAACTCAAGGGAGTCGGCTGTCAAGGGCTGTGAGGTGCGACTGACCGGACGGATGGATGATACCAGAGCAAGCCCCTGCTGACCGGACATGGTGGGACCAACGAACTGCACACGTGACGTCTCCGGCGTAGCAATATGATCCGACGATTGGATGTCGATCGGACGAGCAGCAGATGGTGGTGAAGACCAATCAAAAACAGGTGGGACCCAAGCAGACATATCCGCTGCGGCGCCAGTCATGGGAAACGGCATGCTAGGGTTGTCGGCGCCGTCGACGTCATGGATGATGGAAGCATGCTAACGGCAGAGTGTGCGACTGATACCGGCGGCGCAACCGTAGGGTTGCTGGCGGCTGCGGCGGTACTCATGAAGAGAGAGAGAGAGAGAGAGAGAGAGAGAGAGAAAATTGTGGAAAACCCCGGGCTCTTGATACCAGGTGAGAAATAATAACAGGCTTAATCAGACTGGTAGCCCTGACTGTATATTTATAATAAAATAAGTCTCCAAATACAATTAGGATACTGCCTAATAATTAATGCTAATTAATTTACACTATTAATATGTACGTACATACTAACATACATACATACATACATACATACATTAACACACATGTACACACATTATGCACCCATGGTAATAATATACTCCCTCCGGTCCTAAATAAACATCACACTTTGACTTCACACAAATTAAGGAAATGAATTTGACTTTACTATAGAGTACACTGTTGTGACACTGTTTGGCATTGTTTGACATTGTTTTGCACTGTTTTGATGTAAATAATTTGTCAAAGAGAAATTTATCATGGATATTACTAAAAGATGATGATGTTCCCGGTATATGACTAGTTTAGAATTTATCTCAATCTATGACCGCACATGTTAACGTCCAATCACGTGCTTTGATAAAAAAAATTATTCACCATAGTGCCCTCCTAACGCACGCCAGGAATCACGTAGCTTCATGACTCTAAGTTGTAACCGTTATGCATAACTGGCGCATTAACAATGTTAAGGAGTCACGATAGGTTTCAATCACTTAGTTCTCAATCTCCTAAAATTAAGGAATCAATTATTAGAAAAATTAATAGAAGGTAAGTATTTACATAATTGTTGCTGCATATCCCTGACCTATCATTAAACGGTCTCCTTCAACGAACGTTGTTATTCCTTTTTTGCTTAATCCGACTCTACTCCATCAATTCACGGCCATTCTTCGATTGAAGTCATTCATGGATTCCATCCCCATAAGTTCCCCGAAAATGTGGATTATGATTAAATATGATGGCCAATGGATCTCAAATACTTTGTTCTCTAGTATTCATGTTGCCGGCTTAACTATACAATTCTCTATGTTCTCATGTTTGCGCTGTTATTGGTGACAGTTATGCCGGGAAGAATATGAAGATCTCATACGTTTATGCTTCATGCCCACCTCCCGTGAATGTATGTGATGACGTTAGTCTACTCTTTTATCTACAATCGAAGAGTTTTCAAAAGGACCCGATGCAAATGTCGTTGTGTGTTGAATTTGTATGTGATGCTACGACTGGAGAGGAACAAAGCACCACAGTATGTGATGATATCCACAATTCAAGTGGAATTAACCACCCGAGCAATCCGGAAGAGTGTGGTGACTTTAGTGAACAAGACAATAGTTTCAGTCACAATATTGGTATGGACATTGAATTTGACCATATTTCGAGTGCTGAAATTATGAGGTTAAATTTACAGGTTGATGAAGAGATTCATAATATGCATGTTCTCAACCATTCTGAACCCACACACATTGCATTGAATAGCATCTATGGAAGCAAGAAGGAACTTGATTTTCACTTAAAGATGTATGCGATTACCAACTTCTTTCAGTATAGAACGAAGACATCTTGTCCGAAGGTTTTGCATGTTGTGTGTGTTGACCCCGAGTGCAAGTGGGTTGTGCGTGGTGTGCGCATCGACGGAGTCTCATTGTTCCAGGTCAAAAGGTACGCATTCATTTATTTTGAAATTATAATTACGTGCCAAGCGTGTTTGTTACTGCCCTACGTAATAATATTTTAATAAAATTGATTGTGCATTTCCAACGGCATTTAAATTTAAGGTCTTATGACTGTCTTGTATTGGTGCACATTTTTGTTGTTTTTTAAAAAACGATTTTAGTACAAATAAATCAGTATTACATTCGTGCATATATTTTTAATGTCGTCTGTGTAACTGATATAATGCCCTGACTTTGGTGTTAATCTCTGGTGGCATGTAAAGGTATGTCGTAATTCTGTTAGCATTGTTTTAATGCCCTTACTCACAAATATTTTAATTCTCTTTGTGCTAATGTTATAATGCCTTGCTTTTTTCAATAGGTTTTGCTTGCATGTTAACGTATCTCTTAATTAATTTTTCTACTGTCATATTCTTTTAATTTCCCATGTGCCATTATAATTTGTGGATATATTTTAATGTCCCATGTGCAATTGTTTTAATGCCCCGTGTTTTGCATTACGTCTTGTTTGCATGTTAAAGAATCTCATTTTACCACTACCCTTTGTGTGCTGCTATTCCTTCACTTTAAATGTCCTCTCCTCACTTTAATTTAATACTGTATATTGATAAACTATTTTTTAATTGCTACTGTTTTTATGGCATCATACATTTTTTATTTCCTATAACAAATGCATTTTTTTTTTTAATATTATTATTTCAAACAATGTGCATTAATTCATTATCCACTGTACTTCCCAAGAGATAACTCCTTTCATTATCTATTTTTTCACAGATATGACTCTGAGCACACATTCCCCATTGATGTACGTCAACGAAATAGCCGTCAGGCTACGTCCAGGATTACTGCCAAACTTATCAAACAGGAGTACGGTGATGCATCCAATAAGCCATACCCTCTGAAATCAATTATGCTTGATATGCAGACCAAATACGGCATTTACATGTCATACAAAAAAGCATGGATTGCCAAAGAATTGGCAATGGAACTGGCTATGGGATCTGAAAAGGATTCATATGCACGCTTACCTTCAATGTGTCATGTGCTTGAAAGGAGTAACCCAGGTTCTATTGTTTCTTATTCGTGCAAGGAAAATGGTGAATTTAATAATTTTTTCATGTGCCTTTCTGCATGGAGGGAAGGTTGGATTCATTGCATTCCGGTTATAATTGTGGATGGGTCTTTTTTGAAGTCGTATTATAAGGGTACATTACTCACTGCATGTACACAAGATGCAAACAAACAAATATTTCCATTGGCATTCGATATATGTAGTGGAGAAAATACCGAAAATTGGTCATGGTTCTTCAGTATGTTGAAGCATTCTCTGATGCATCGGGATGATCTATATATTGTGTCTGATCGCCACGAGGGCATTATTAGTTCCGTGCGTTCTGTATTTTCTCATGCGCAACATGGTTACTGTGTTTACCACATATTGGCTAATTTGAAAACAAGATTTCGTGGCACGCAAAAAACTGTGTCATGGAAGTTTTTGCAGGCTGCTCGTGTTGGATCTGTGTACGAGTGTGAAGAGTATCTTCAAATGCTGGACAGTGAGGATCCATGCATTCGTACGTATTTAGAGCGGATGGGCCATGACAAATGGTCTCGTGCTTATGCTAGTCGAAATCGGTACTCAGTTATGATGTCAAACAACGCGGAGTCATTAAATGCAGTTAATGCCACTGCCCGAGAATACTCAATATGTAAGTTGATAGAGTTTATAAGTTTATTATTTCACGAATGCAAAAATGGTTTTGTGAACGGCGAGACTCTTCAGCGTCGAACAATTGTCGTTTATCTGCACACTTTGAATCTGAACTAGCTGTTTTACAAGCTATGGCGGCCGTCATGACAGTATTACCCTCTTCTCTTTGTCTTCATTGCACTACTTTTTTAAAATACATCCCAACGTTATACATTATTGAATTACTTTTATTGTACTTAATATTTAATTATAGTTTTATATGTTTAATCACACATCGTGCAGGTCAAATCATCATGTGCTTTTGAGTTTGAGGTGTTTGATAAGAGATCCCGTTCTTATGTTGTCAACTTGAAGGAGCAGACTTGCACTTGTTGAGAATTTCAGCTTGATGGGTTTTTATGTGTACATTCCGTTGCAGCTATTCGCTCCCGCCCAGGCCTTTCTTGCTACGATTACATTTCAGAATTCTATACTGCACATCATTGGGCACAAACATATCGCGGTATTATTCATCCTATTGGGAGTCCGGATGGTTGGATTGTACCTTCACATGTTAAGCAAATCACTTGCAACCCGCCATCATGTGAATCACGACCTCCTGGAAGGCCGAAGAAAAGAAGAATTCCATCTACAGGAGAACATGTTCGGAGACAAACATGCACTCGTTGCCTCATGGTTGGACACAATAGAAAGACTTGTAGAAATCCTATTCCGCTACACATGCGTTAAAAATTGTTTTTATGTGCCGTTTTAATTTTAACATTGTTGCGCATCTAGTCACGTACACTTGTTTGGTTTATTAACGTTACTTTCAGTGTTGTTTAATTTTAAATTTGATTTGCAGTTTCTATTATTGCCATCTGTGTGTTAAAAAAAGTATTTCAATGTCCATCTATACACATTGATGCTTACTACTTCCTTTTGTTTATTATATATTTAATGCCTCAATGATCTGCCCTTGTTTTTTAAGTCATATTACATGATTGAAAAATATACTACCAAACTCCAGAGCTCAAAAGGTGACAATATGTCAATATACATTCTCAATTTCGGACAGTTTTTATGCCTTAATGTCCTAAAATTATTTTCTATGTCATTTGACATGGTTAAATACTATCGTACCAAACTCCAAAGATCAATAACTGACAATATGGCAATATACATACTCAATGTCCTCCATTTTTTAACAACTATAACCACCTGCCCTGACAATATTTCAACATATGTACTCTATACATTGTTTAGTATATATTTAATGCCCCACTAACCTACCCTTTTTTTAGTCATTCTTTCACAATATGTCATTATACATACTCAATGTCCTGCATATTTAATTCCTCAATGTCCTTAAAATAACTTCTAAGTCATTTACATTCTTGAAAATTATCGTACCAAACTCAAGCTCAATAAACAAAACAGGACATACAAAAACCACCATCACATACTACAATCACCAGTACATACAAAAACCACTAGTATTATGTAAAGCAAGCATAATATCCATAATATCCAGCTCTGTAACATTAAAAAATATTAGTCATTAGGTTTTCAACGCAATGCGCCTATGACACCAAAATGAACTAGAAGCTCTGTCGTCATCTTGGCGCGGTATGCATTGATATCTTCTGGTCTAACGTACTCCACATCCTTGTCCATCATTAAAAACTCAGCCATCTTTAACACGAACATGCCACAACTGTCACTGTTCAACAATATAAAATTATCAATTCATGGAATCCTAATCATTTTTAATTAAACCATCGTTGATCATTGACTTTAATCACATACCTATCGTTTTGTTGTGGGCATTCTTTCACCATATGAATCTGCAGTAAATCCTCCCCCATAGGCCCCTCACTACGCTCATTGTACACTCCTAGCTTATCCATTAGTCTCGGTAAAAACATTTGCAAGCTCGGGAGGTAATGGTGAAGGTGTATGTTTGTTTGACCCCGTCGAACACTAGAATCGTACACACGTATGCACTTCGCAGTTATGTCAAGCACTAAAAGTATCCAGTGATTACCTGCATTCAAAGGCATGTATACAATTCACCAAATTCTCATTTTACAATTAAATGACAGTACTTTATTATGTAAAAGTATTGTCCTTTATTATCACACAAATCTATCATTTATTCACAACTCACCAAATGAATGTAGTGGTTACCTGTATTCAATGGCATGTATACATGCTCTGCTTCAGCCTAGGCCAGTCCGTAGTCCAAACGTGTCCCAAGGATGACACCCATTATATTCTTATTTAAAGCACTTTCTGACATTGGCGTTGCATTGGAAATGTGGTTGTCGTAATGCTGCTTTACCAAAGGCATAAACATAGTATCTGTTGTTGTGAATTTCTGATGCAGCTTATATTGTTCAGCTTTCATCCTTAAGAAAAACATTCCAACCTCCACGTGCTTCACAAATCAAATTTAATGCATATAAAAATTATTAGTGCGTGAGTTACTGCCTTTACTTGTAATTCTAAGTAATACCACTAAATTATCATGCATAATTATGGGGAAAAAATTATAATTAAATAATATAATATCACCGTGTCGCTTAACCAATTCTCGGGGAAGTATATTGTGTAGTACCATGATTTCCTATCACAACTTGCATCCCCAAATGCTTCTTTAATGCCTTTGATCTTTAACTCATCATATCCTGATTTGTATTTCCTCTCCTTACTACTTTTGTGGTTCTTAAGTAGTCCATCATGCATGAATTCTGATGTTTTTTGAAGCAATTCTGCAGGTGGTATTTCTGATGGATCTAGACTAAATGGCCCCACTATTGCATGCCTTACATCATCACCTATATCTTGCTCATTTCCCTTCTCTTGTTTCCTCCTATGTTTCTGTTTTCGGGGTCCAGAAAATGTAAATCTGTCTAGGCATTTTTTCTTTCTTTTTGGCATTCCATCAACTGCCAGCGGGATTGTGTTCCCTGTGTATACCTGATCCACCAAAAAAAACCTTTCAGCAACTATTATGATAAAACTGTTATTAATTGAATTATGAGCATGACTATGAATGCATGACATTTTTACAGACTACATCTTCTATCTTAAATGCAATATTATGGCATAACTAAATATATTTTACCACAATCTGCGAGTCTAGTGGTTCTAGACTTTCTTCGTTTGTTTCTGGGTCAATGTCTTCAATGCCCTTCTCATCTTCATTTTGCTCCACTTCAGCCTCTTTACCATTTCCCTCTTCCTTATCCTACATGACCATCAAAACTCTTACAATCATCACTTAATGCACTAATTGATGAGATAATGATTACTTTCTCATTCATTCTTCTAGGTAGGTGCTCAATTTCCCTATCACCTTGGTTAACTGCTCATTTTTTTAAAACCAGTCAGTTTTTAACACGTATTAAAATTAAATTTGTTGAGTTTTGTTGAAGCGTCAATGTACAGAATCGAGAGCATTAATCTGGTTTACTAAAATTATGGACATTATAAGCATTACATAGGCATTGGATGTGAATAAGGTCCATGTGTTGTCGAAGTATGTTGTGAGAAACAAATGAAAAAAAAGAGTAAAAAATTATAATGATGATGTAGTTACTTTAAAAAACTTAAAATTTCATGTATCCAGTCTTTTGTAATATGATCAAATACTTTCCTTGTTTAGCTCAGCATAATTTGTTGTGTTAGTGTCCTTGCAGGCACTATCAATATCTTCACTCACCTTAACCTGCACAAAATATTCACAATTATATAACGAGTTACTAACACAATCACTGTAAACACCACTTACCTTTTCACTTCCTTTTTCACTGTCATGTTTAGCCTCCATGTTGCCCATGTATTTCTCAAAAATCACATCTACCTCCGTACACAGCAGCTGCGTATCCAGCATTCCTATATCTTCAAAGATCTGAACATCAGCCTGCTCTTCTTTCTTTGTCTCATCAGTCATCATATTCTTTTCAATCAATTCCACCTCCTTAAGTAGCTGCTGGGTGTTCATTGATCCATCTACTTCCTTGAACATGTCATCTTGTGTCATTTGCACATCATCTTCCACCATCTTATCAACCGTCTCTGATCTCTCACAGACTAACTCCTCAACTTCATCATGCTCATTACCTTGCTCACTGTCCTCTAGTCTTTGTTCATTAAACTCCATACCCAAGTCAAAACTTGGCATGTCTTCCTTATCTTTCATTGTTGCTTTCTTAGACACTTTCTTCATCTTTTTACGCTTCCACATCATGCCTCTACTATCTAAAACATTCTTCAACATGCTGGATTGTTTCATTTGCAACTCACACAGCTTATCCACCTTAGATTCTAGCTTTTTTAATCTTTTTCCTTATGATACAATGGCTGCCATGATATTGTGCATCACTTTATCTTCCCTCTCTTCATTTCCGGGCTTCTTTTGTCTCTTTGCTTTCCCTTTTTGCGCAGCCTGCCTTTTTTGTACTACCTTACTGTGTGTCATTACTGCCTTGGCCATCACTCTACTACATCCCCGTTCTTCGAAATCGTCACTATCATTTCCCTCCTTCACATCAACTTCATTAACATTGCTTGTCAATGCTTTAATAACTGAGTCCATCTTTAGCTCTTTTTCGGTGGCTTTCATTTCTTCCCATTCTACCTGCACATATAATTATAAAAACATTATTATATTACCTAATATGACAAATACAACACTTCCATTCAATTATTTACTTTTCCCACCTGGTCATTATTAAATATCACATCCTCAATGACTTGCTGTGACGGCCTAGCAGGGGCTGCCCATTGCAGTGTCCTAGGCCACATATTTGCTCTCGCCCTCCTCACACAAACTTTTGCTTTTTCAAGGCCTGGGAAAGTCTCATATGCCCAGATCTACAGAGCAAATATATATCCTGGAAATGTAAATCTTGCAGACGGCTCCTGGTAAAGAACACCTGCACATTTCCTTACTTGTTCATGTAGATCATCCCACACAACATCACTCCATGGATATTTGTTGAACTTTTCGATATCATCTACCAAATTAATGTACATCGATGGGAGCTTTATTGATGCTTGATTTCCTAGAATATAACTACCTAGGACATGCAATAAACCAAGCTTTACCGCGTCCATTGCCTCTGCTCCACTCTCTTTTGATTTCCCTGATTCAAAAATGTCTTTAATGTCTCTTCGTGCAACTTTTTTCATTCCAGAGAAGTATCTTCTCCACAAATCGCCTGGAGCTTTACTGGATGTTATTGCCTTCTGTGTACCAAACGGGAACCCGGTAATTAAAGCCAAGTCACTTTTTGTAAAAGATGCAACTTTGTTGCCAATCAAAAATTCCAACTTTGTTTTGTCATTCTCTGTATTCAATCGCTCAACATGATTGGCGCAGAGTAGGATTAACAACTGCCCATTTACCCAGGGTATGTTTCCCAAGTCAAGTAAATAACCGAACACTGATTTCCTGAATTCTTTGAGCTCATCCTCATTTAAATAGGTCCTTATACTCTCCACTGCCTTTATTGGATTACAATAAGAATTTATTTTCATAGATTTTTCCAGCACAAAGTTATCACACTCAGTTGTCTTCACATACTCCTGCAATATACAACAATAATAGTTTCATACAAAATTTCATAGTACGCCCCGTGCAAAAATTAAGCTAAATTATAGTCCTACATTACTGTCCAAATGTAGTACCTGTTCCAAGTTCCAACGGTGTATGTATGTATATATGCAGTAACATTCATGTGAAATGGGATTAATATTTTGCTATAAACTGATTTCAATGGTCATTTTTGGTTCGTAGATGGTGTGAAGTCCCTGCATGTTTTTATTCCACCTGCTCTTTTTAAGTGAGCATATAAGATGTAATATTACTGCCCTAATCAATTCCTGTAAATGGTGAATTCTAATAGTACACCATTTACAAATTAATAATGCATATACTCTACATCAAACATATATTTCTGCCCTAATAGTACATAAACAAATTAATGCACTACATCCGGGCATCTCTGTAACAAATCATATTACTTCAATGCATATAGTCTACAGCAAACACATTTCATTCAATTCAATTAATGTCCAAACACCTTACACCATTCCTTAAAAATATTATTGCCCTAACTATACATTGATCAACTAATGCACGTAATACACATTGTTTACTACCCTCAATCTAATGTCCTGCGCATCATCTATTTCCAAAAAAAATGCTTTCCGGCATCCATTCACCCTCAACCTCCTTTAGCTCCATTCAAATAATGCCCAAACAACAACATCGCCCCCCCAAGCAAACATTACTAGCACTCTTACTGCCCTAATTTCACAGCACCTTTCTATTTCAGGTTTCAAATTATAAAAATCTTTAATACAGAATAAACTTACAATTCCATGGACAGTAAACACATGCGATTGAGTCGCCTCCTCTGATGCCGGTTGTTGTCGTTTCACCGCCTTCTTCACTACTCTTCTTCCTCGTTTGGGAGTCGTCTTCCTCATGTTGGCTTCGTTAAACGGCGTCTCTCTCTCACACACACTTCTAATTGAATTCTTCCGGCATTACATTCTCCGTACCGAAGGCGGTTAATTCGGAATACCCGTTTCAGAAGCCCAATATACGGCGCACGTTTCTCGTTGGTTTCTTTTCCGTTTCAGGGCTTTTACTTATTTGAAACTAAGGGCAATTCCGGGTTTTTAAATGCTTTCGTGCGTGGGCCGATGTATGGCATGCTTTTTGTAGTCATACGGTTGATTAAAAAACACATCTGGTCATATTTTGGGAATAGTCTCATGTTTTAGTATTATTAGGGTATTTTTCCCTTAATATGAAAGTGACAAAGTTTTTTAGGACAATCAAAAAAGAAAAGTTGGCAAAGTTCAATGGGACGGAGGGAGTAGTAAAATATTGTAGGCCACATATTACCTCCGTCCCACTCAACTTTGCCAAGTTGATGTTAGGTGGGAAATTAGATTAGTAAAATTTGTGTGATTGAGGTTTGTGCAGATGAGAGAGAAATGAACAGAACCACAAAAATATTGCTTTAAAGGGGAAGTGTCAAAGTTTTTTTAGACAAACAAAAAAAGAAAATTAGCAAAGTTCGGTGGAACGGAAGAAGTGCTTTTTTTCAAAAAGAAAATGTGACCATATTTTGAAACAATCCAAAAGTAGATTATAAAGAGAAACTGAAATGACAGAATATCAAATTTTAATACTCGTATAAATTAGTGAGATGGAAATCCGGCTTTTGCACGTTTGTTTAGTTTAGGTAATTCTCTCAAATTTATAAGCTTGCTGGAACATTAATGCACGGATAGGTATCTGATTCCGGGAAGGGACTACAGATCGGGTAGCTATTAACGTCAGAAATTAAACAAAAGCATGCAGTGGTCGGGAGAAAGGAGACCAATTCAATCTGCCCGCAGCTTAATGAAAAGATATATCATTAATATATGTTCATGCCGGGTCATTATTTATATTCATCATCATATTTGCAGATTCAACTAGCTAGCTAGGCAAATAAGGTCGGTCATACATGGATTGGCCGCAAAAGTCAAGTTTGATTACTCTCTTTATACTAACGTCTCTGTATGCTATTGCTGCATTTTCTACTACTGCTCTCTCAGGTACTACTTCTTTGCAGATTGTGTGGGTAGTTGATGAAGTTGCCATCTTTGATCTGAAGCTTAATTAGCTTGTTTCTTTAATTTATCTTCTTGCTAATTATATGTTGATGACAAGTTTTTTCCTTTTTATAATTTTGTTTACGTTTCATATGCGTGTGTGCAGACGGGATATCGGGTTCTCGGTATGCCACTGGAAGAAGCCTCCTTCAGATCCCCAAAGGTATGGTGGTATGGTACATGGTTCCCTTCTTTCTTGATCATTAATCGATCAGATCCCCAAAGGTATGGTACATGGTTTGAATTGGTTGGCTGGAAAGCTAAGGGTTGTTTGGGTGATCGAACTGTTTTTTGTTTATTCTACTCATAAGCAAGATGGCTATAGTGGGCCGAAGCTCAGGACAATTTTATTTTTTTTCAATGTTTAAGCTTAGTATAATTACTTTTAGCCCATTTCAACCCAAATTCCTAGATCCTCCATGACTCATAAGCACAATGGGACCGTTTGGATATTGGCCGTTTACACAAAACGCTGTTTCTTTTGAACTGCAAACCGCAGCGGGTGGGCATCAATCCGCCGAAAACCAAACATAGCCAATAAATGGCAATGGAATATCACTATCAAATGAGCTCCTTTTATATAAATAGTTGTATACATCCAAATAAATTTAGGAAAAAAAATACTTCTATTACACACCCCGTACACCTCATCTTTGAATAAGTAAGTTTTTCGTCTATGAATAGCTTGTTCACACACAAAACATATTAAAAAATGTAGTAGCTTAATCGCAGACGTTGTACAAATGAGTGTGTGCAACAAAAAATTATGTGTAGGAATTCATTTGAAATAACTCTTTGTACTGGCTCATTCTAACTTTTGGTCCTGCCTACTCCAGGAATATACTCACTGTGTTATATATACTCTGTATGTGTTTGATTTCTTGGCAGCGCAGAATGCCCTATTAGCTTCGAGTTTAAGAACTATACAATCATTAGCAGCCAATGCAAAGGTCCAAATTACCCAGCAAAGCAATGTTGTGACGCTTTTGTGGAGTTTGCGTGTCCGTTTGTGCAATATTTGAATAACTTTACAGAGTGTTCAAAATCCATGTTTGACTACCTCAACCTCAAGGCTCATTACCCAACTGGGCTTTTCTCAAGTTTGTGCAAAGGAGATAAAGAAGGGCTGCCTTGCTTGGCAACACCACTTTTATCATCACCTCCAAAGTCTGATCTTGATGATTTAAGTAGCAGCTGCCTTTCGAAATGTAGCAAGAGTACAGCAGCATGGATACTGCTGTTATTGCCAATATTCATCTGATTCAGGCTCTGTATGTGTTTTGATTTAGGGACATATATACATAATACATTGCATTATGCATCTCAAATCTGGTTGTTTCTGATTTGGTAGACCTCTAAGTTTTTACTTTTTATTAGCTCATCACTTCATCAGGCAAATGAACCAAAATCTTGTTTTCCCCTCTTTCCCTTAATTAGTTATTTTATTATTTACATCTTTCCATTTGACTAATTCAAGGTTTAAATATATTTTTAATCCCTCCGACCATATTACATTTTGTTTTATGTCCCTACATTTTTTTTTATCCTTGAAATTTAAGTTGATTTTCTTTTTAGTTCAATCACTAATGATAACAACCTTTGTTTGACAACAAAACAACCCCGATGAATAGGATTCCTTTAATTCTTAATCATGTTATCATTTCAGAATTATGCTTAAGAGAGAGAAATAGATAGATTGACAAATTATTTAATTTAGAAGGAAAATTGACAAAATACAATGAGAATGGGACGGAGAGTATTGCTTAATTTGCTTATGTTCAAATTTAGTACCCTTGGTTGATTTCATCACAATCATACCGTAGTAAATTCATCTGAAATGCTTGGTTTTGTAATAATTTGTAGAATGAGCAAATAAACATACTAAAAACAAAACACACTGTTTTCCAGTTTTCCTGGACCAAACACAATGATAATAGTAATAATAACAATAATAAATAAAAACTAATAATAATAAAACTAATAATAATCTATTAATATAACAAACTTCATAGTACTTGAGAATGAAATAAGACACCAGATGTGGTGGATAGGTGTTGATCACTTAATCTAACAAAACTTAGGGTGGGTGGGAGGACCGGCTCAGGTAAACCACCAGAACAAATAGTTTGTAATTTTGACCCTTCCAACCAAATATCTCCATGCAATGCACACACCTAATCATACTTAGACAGATGAGAACTGGAAATGATTGTGCAGTCAGGCGCCCCAACAATAGTTGAGACTTGATTGTCATAAGCTGCACTGCAACTGCTGCGGCAATGGTACTGCTTCATAGTGAGTACAGATCTAGAACAACGTGCAAGCTTCAAACCTGGGCTACTAACTGATGAATTATCACTCCGTGGTTTTGGCTCTCTTCATACCAAGGCTATTAAAGGGGGACACAGAACCAGACATTTGGGAACCTTCATCACGAAGTGTACCATTGATCATTGCAAGTTCGCGTAGCTGCTGCTTTTTAAAAAAATCCTGCGATTCATCCTGCTTTTCAAGAATAGAAAAGTAAGAATACAAGAAGAAGAAGAATTGAAACTTGCTCATCTTCTTAGCATAAAAAGGAGACAAAAAGATTATAGTTACCACAGGCTTGAGAAGATCTTCAAGTATCTCACGAGCTTGTGCTAACCGAGCATCAATTATCTCCACAGGGAGTTCTGCCTCAACAATTACATGAAGGGGCTCGTTCAGGTGCTCATACCCAGGTTTACCTCTCATCATTTCTTCCTTTGGATAATGTAATAAAATATTAAACTATACTGTTAACGTTATATCCATGAGAAGGTTAGAAATACTTAAAATACAAGAGAACCTATTTTGCTGCTTTTTCTAGCACAAAAAATGAGGTTCAGAGAACAAGAGGTGTGATGCTCCTTTCGTAGCTCTGTTTGAAAACAAATGTTGTTTTACACCTTTACATAAATACGGAGTATTAAGCACACAATGAAGTTTTCTATATTTCAAGATAAATGGTAGTTACACACTCATCAATTTATGCTTTAAACATATTAGATACTATGGGTCTTTTTCCATCATTTGCAATGAAGCCAAAGATTCACTATTTTTTGGCTTGGGAATATGATGGAATAAAGCAAAATGGCTCACTAAATTGTTTGCGCTTCTTTGTTATAAAGCATCAGTCAGTTCATCCAATTTTCGACGCGAATCTCACCATGTATCATTTGGAAAGTCTCTCTGTACTTTAGTACAGGGGTAAGATTGCGTACATCGACCCCCTTACCCCACTGTAGGTGGGAGCCTTTGCGACAATGGGGTAATGATTATAATGAGATAGTGAGATACTATGGGTCTTTTAAGATTGGGAAGGGGAATAGTAGAAAATGAGCAACTATTTGACAAAACAAATCTGTAAAACGGCTTAATAAAGAAAGGAGTAACTTATGGCTTTCATTTTATTTTGGTGGTGGTTGTATGTGGGATGGGGTTGGGTGAGGAGGGTATCCTTGATACAAATATATTGGCAGATGGATCACATATTTCATAATTAATGACTTAGGAAAGCCATTCTGAGGGGAATCATTCAATGACGAAGCTAAAAGATAGAATTGGATATCTTCTCTTTTATAATACACAGACGAGCTGGCAGTAGGATGCATGTAAAGTGCCTAGAGATCATACAGTCATGCTAAAAAAACCAAATAACTGTAGTAGGAGTACGTATGCTACCTTTGCTAGATCCTTAATGCTGCCACATCCTCTAATCAGAACACGGCAGTCTGTAAGTGCTTCCACACGCTTAAGAGAGTTCCCTCTAGGCCCAAGAAGGCGACCAACGAAATTGTACTGCAGCAGTAATTGGTGAGCATTGAAATATATTTTTCATACAATACTCAGTTCACAAACCAAAATGCTGGATGAGAACACATACATTGGGATATTGCTCAACAGGAATGTCAATTCTGAGTGTTTGCTTAACAATTAGACCAGAAGAGCTACTGTGACCGGCAAGCCAGTTTTGAGGGCTGGCAGATTGCACTAGACCTGACATCTGTACATAATAAATGTAAATCATGTCATGGGGGGAGGGGAGTTCTCATTTCACAGAGCGCTGCACTCTAGACAATTAATCACTATAGCTACTGGCTAGTGTTCAGCTGGCAAAACCTTAGATTCCAGAATGTCAAGCCATCAGTCAAGGGAAAAAAAAAGTGTAATGATAGGCCAACTTTTCTGGCTGCATGTAATATAACTTGGAAATTTTCATACTTCGTCTATTTTTTTAGTTGCTACATTCCAATTTTCACATTTTCCGATGCACAAGTTTGACTATTAATATATTTCATTCTTTACAAGTACAAAAAAAAATAAAAAAACAGATTTTGAAAATTTAAAATGAGAGGAATTTAATTATAGTTTTCAAAAAATTAATTTATAATACATTAATAAACAAAATATAGTCAAACTAGAGCATATGAATAGTGTAATACTCAACAATATTGCAACTTAAAAAGAACAGAGGTAGGATAAAACGAAATTATAGAATCAGACATTTCATCCACCAACAGAATCACATAAATGCAAAATGCCATGATAAATTCCATGCTTTGATATAACAGTATGAATGTATTACAGAAATACAGTACTGAACATTTCACTAAAGAATCCATTAAAAATTGTTAGCTTGAACTTAGACGCACACCTCTAAATTGGCTACAATGTTATCAGAGTTTAGAAAGAGAGAGGCAGCTCAGGGAAAATGAAACGAAAAGGAGGTGGGGTTAATACAATTCAATGATAAAACAACTAGTAAATACAATGCATAACAATGAATCAATGTGCACAACTCAGTCTATAGATTAGTATTGTTGTTGTTGTTTGACAAATGTAAATTTAAAAGCACCTAAAAAGAAGTAATCATGTCAGCGAAAGCAATGCAACAGTGTTCGCATCTAAGCCTATAAATCAGTCCTAATGTAGTTACGTGTTAGCTTCAAACTACCTGCCACGACAAATCAAAGTTAAAAGCACCTAGAATGTAGTAATCATGTCAGCAATTAGAGTAAAAAATTGTGTCAGAATCTTTTGAAAACATAAACTAGAGTAAGTGGTTCTGTTAATGGTTAGTATCCATACTTCAGATTGAAATCGTGATGGCCTTCTGTCCATGTTAGCTCCTCCGTTTGAAAACAATCCACCCGAAGCCATGGGGCTAGCATGTTCAAGCCCACTTTGATCTAAAATTGGTGCATTCTCCAAGAGTGTAGTTACACGCAAAATTTCTGCTTCAAAAGGTCAATTTTCAAGAACAAGATGTACCAGTTATTAGTTAAAAATTATTCTGTAGTTAGCAGTCTCCAATATTGACCAGGTCAAGTCCAAGACACCAAAGCTTCATAAAGTAAACGGCAAGTCACACCCGGGTCACTTAATAATCTTATATTGATCCAACAGAAGAAACCCTATATGACCAAGTTAACACTGATCTGCCCAAGCAGAGGGCTGTCAGTAGCATCTCCGGTCAAGAACTTACATACTTTTGGGAATAAAAGAATTATATGCTATACAAAAGCATTGCATAATGATAGGAGTTATTGAATGAAATAGTTTAAACCTTTTAAGGCTTTTATCCATATTTCTCTCCTACATCACTTCCTTCAGAGCTAACAAGCCTCAACTTAATTATTTTCGTTGTATAAAAAAAGCCTCAACTTAATGCCAGCGAAGATATGTTTCTGGTGGTATTAAATCTCAAACAGGAAAGCACTTATTCTACACCGAGGTTAACTCACCCTGGTTCAGTAACCGATAGCAATGAGGAAGCACGGGCATAAAGGGACTAAGCTTGCTGCGCTCCGCTAGCAACTCCGCAAGATGCCTTTAAACATGCATTGAGATAAATTAGTAGCAGGAAAAAACAAGCAATCCTTGCACTAACTATCTAGAGTGTTTCAAGTCTTTCAACTTTCGAAGGTGATAATGGAATACAACTCTAATTCGAAAGGGATACTTCAACTTTTGGTTCTTCTAGTATAATACTATAGCATCAATTTCATCTCTGATAAAAACTAAAAAGCATGAGCAGCAGTGGCCCCTCAACCTATTGATAAATGAATACACAAGTCCTTTCAATCACTCTACTAGAAAACCTAATAGAAAAATTCTTTTTCTTATTCCAAATAGAAATGGGGCTACCACTGTACAAAAACTGTATAGAAGTGCTCTATCAAGGCATCAAACTATTAGAGATTAGAGAGAATGATCTGCAACCATTCCAAATTGAATAAAAATTTCATTCTGTCATAAAATCCCTTCACAAATGACCCATTCCTGACCAATCTCAATAACAGATTGAACGTTCGTGTCCGCTTATTAAAGGAAATGTTTATTCTTCTCTTCACAATGTGGGACATTGATTTTGAATGGAAGGTTGCACAGGTTTGAATTTATCAATTTCTTTTGAGCTTTACTGGAGGTAGCAAACCGTAAAAAGAATTAACTTTCCATTTGATATCTTACCCACTGATTGGTTCAAAAGAGGGGAAGGAAGAGGAGGAGAACTGGGGAGAGGGGAGGTAAGGAAGTTGAAAGAGTTCAAGAAAAGGTTATGTGTCGTTCAATAAAGGAGCAGGGAGGAATTAGTGTTTCAGGAAAAAATGTGTAAAAGTAGCATACTATGTATTTAAGATAGCTTTATTGTTATTTAAAATATACTCGGTAAACTATCTGTATAGCAAAAATAATGTAGAACAGATTTTATTAAAAACCGAAAGAAATTTTAAAAATCAATCCTCAAAAATCCCTCGAATCTAAGAGTGAGATAGCTTTCATCACGTTACTCCCCACCTCCCAAGTTCCTCCAGCCAACCAAGGTTAGTGTTGCCAATTCAGCAGAATCTGAGACAGCATCACCACTAAGTTTAGCAATCGATAAAATACCCTTAAAGCACTCGTTCATATAAGAAAAACACACCTGACTGCCAGTAAACAAACAGTAGAAATCAGTTTTTTGTCATCCCAGATTAATTGATAAAATGATACGAATTTAATGAAAGAGGATTGATATATCATTAACATTAGGGTTGAGAACCTGTAAACACCAGTAAACTTTTAGTTCACACACAAAAGAGGCTAACAAAACAAGTCGAGTTCCAAATGAAAAACAGATACTTGAAGAGTCCTTGTTGTACGCACATTTGTACCCACCCCTTATTTTGTATGTGTACAAAGACAAACACAGACAAAATGTTGCCTTCTTCTTAACCGATTTTTTTATACTTGAAACGTGTCTTTTCCATCTAATATCAACTGAGGAAACTGGATGAATTCTAGCAAAGGGGCGTCAAAGCACCAAATGATTGAATTCAAATATAATTAGTCATAATACCCACAACGAAGCCAACAAAAAAGCAAGCAAACAGTACAGCGTGATTTTGAAGTAGAGAGAAAGGTTTCACGAAGTCAGGACAGAAATTCGCAAGCCAGCAAAACTTAATCAAACAACTGATGATGTAAAAGCATAAGTCTTGTCAGATAGATCCAAATTCGGCCATAATTTATGCAAGATATAAAATGGTTTTTTACTGCTCATGTTCGCCGATGAAGAAGGAAGCGGGGCGAATGCCACGGATGTAGGGAGAGTGAGGAGCGCCGTGGGACGGTGAGTAAGCCATAAACCTGCCGGAAGCCATGTCTGTTGACAGCATAAGTTCCGTTTACCGGGAATCCGCCGATTTCCCCTGCGGAGTCTACAGAGGCTCTGAAAAATCAATAACTGTCGAAGATTGATATTGTGTCGGTGGAGAAAATCGTGAATAACAAAGGGAGAAGAGGTATATTTATATTTATTGAAAATCAGAGATTACCAAACAAATGATGTATTCTTCTACTGGTAATAGTACAGTTGTACAAAACTGGTGAAAGAGAGCAGCCAACTTTCTGCTTGCCAAGCTCCTCGTGGTTAGCACTTTGCCACGCTGGCCCTCCTTTCTCAATGATTGAAGTTTTGCATAGGGTGTCGTCTTCTAGGCATACTTGATTGGGCCTTCGTTTTTTTACCTGTGGAAATATCGAGTAAAGCCTTTTTTGTGTCTAGTCTTTCATTTATCTCCACTTCTAAAATACTTTTCATATTTAACTTTCAACTTTTCACTTTTTATTTTCTTATTTCAAAAATAATCTAAACCCTAAATTATTATCCAATCCATTCCATCTCAACCCTCCCAAATGTTCTTCTCGTCATTGCTCCGCCGACTGTTGGACTTCACCACCGTGCCATTCATCCCCGACTCCCCTCCTTGTAAAACGATAGCAGTGAGTAGCTTAAATTCGTGAATGACTTTCGTCGATTGTGTGTTTCGTATATGAACTGCGACTAGCGAGCTTGCTAACGGCAGCTTGCGATGGCGAGCAAAATGCAGACGCGGATCACAAGAGTTGAAGCACCGAAACAAGAGATGAACGCAGAGAACGTGAGGGGAACTGTGTGCCGTGACTCTACTGAATTGACACCGGCCGACTGTGACAATCCGACTAACTGTGCTCTATTTTTTATCTTTTGCCTTCTACTACTCGACTATTGCCTTACCTGATTGACTTGTAAGTTTTTTTTTTTTTTGGTTTTTTCAAGATTTTGAGCTTGCTTGTTTACTTGAGATGTTATGTATGGATTGATGATGTAAGTTCAGCTTTTATCAATATGAACATTTAAATGATTGCTTTTAGTGAATTAAAAATCTCATATATTTGATTCAAACCCTTCACAAGTTTTAAGGAATGAATTAAATAATAAAGAGTATCTTACTGCTACATGTTTTTGTGCAAGGGGGAGTAAGCTGCATTTTGTTTATGATTCATTAATTTGTTTAGCTGCTATCCATTACAAACATCTTTCACACTGAAATTCCTATGAACTCCATAAGAGTACATCTTTTTTCATATACAATTTCTCTCCAGAATGGTTTTCATGGACTTGGTGCTTTTCAGTGCTCTATCTATCAAGACTCATTCCTAAGTTGCTATCCATTACAGTTCTCTATACAAATTTGTATATCCTTGTGTATAATACTTGCTCTTCTCATTTTTGCTTGCTCTAAACTTTATTTTTATTTCAAGTGATTAAGGTAATAACAAATCATTGGCATGACAAACAAAGCTAGAAACATGTATGAAAAAAATGGTCTCGCCTTAGTGTTCAAGTAAATAAAAAAAGCTTAATTTTCAGCTTTCAGGTAATTTAGTCCCTCTAAAGCTTTCAAGATAGTAAGACCATTTATGTTCATATGAAATTCATAAGAAAACATATTTCCTAATGAAAACTTCGTAAATAGATGATTAACTTTTTGTATGATGCAACATCAATGGTTAAGCATTCATCTTAATACCACAAAGCTGTAATTTATATCTTCTTTTTTACTTTTTGTATTTTTTTTTGTGTTGTTTTTTTATGGTTATTGATTTTCATATTCTTCCATCTTTGCATAAGGTGCATGTAGCTATAAATAGTAGGCTCATCATAAGCCCGTGAAGATTGACGAGGAAAATGAAGATAGAGGGACTTATTAAATCGTGTGGAAAGTGTAGCTTAAAAGGAAGAAATGAGAAGAATATAAGCCACATGATGTAATAGATAAATGTAATGAATTGAAATAATGGATTGAATTGTGTATTATTGTGATAGTTCTACATGTTGTTTTTTGTTTCTTTTTGTTGTATCACACATGTTGTTTTTTGTTTCTTTTTGTTGTATCACACATGTTGTTTTTTTGTTTCTTTTTGTTGTATCACACATTTTGTTTTTTTGTTTCATCTTGTTGCTTTTTGTTGCATTATGTTGCTTTTTGTTGCATCTTGTTGTTATTTATTGCATTTGTTGTTTTTTGTTGCATCGTGCTACTTATTGTTCTTTATTATTGATTTTAAATATTTATTTAGGAATATATTTATCTCAGTTACTTCTTCGGTGAAAACACCCATAATTCCATATGTATATACACTTAAAATGATAAATTTGAATTTTTGAATATCAACAACCACAAGAAACACTAAGAAACAATAAAAAATAAAAAAATCAAAATTATCAACAAAAAGAAACACAATGGAACTCAAACTACAATATGCAACAACTATTAATTATTAAATTGTGTAAAAAAAATAGTATTAAATTACAAATTTATATATTTCTTCGATTTTTCTGATTTTAATTTTTATATTTTTCGTTTTTTAACAATTTTGTGTTCAGATTTATTTAATTTTCCGCGATTTTTAGTTTACTTTATTTTTCTTATCTTTAATAAATTTTAAGAATATTCTTTTTTATTTTTATTTTACTCAAAAAAACATTAATTTAAATTTTTCGAATGTTTTAGAATTTTATATATTTGCCCTTCCAATAAATACTTATAAGTTATAACTAGTGTTCGTATTTTGAAATAGTTTCAAAACATTTTTATCTTAATTTACATATTTTTATAATTTTTTATTTATAAGTTTTCGCTTTTTTGTAGTTTTTTATTTGTATTTATTGTTTTTTGTTACCTTTTTAAACTTAAAAATGATTTATGTTTTTATATTTTTCATATATTTATTGTACTTTGTTACCTTTTTTTACCTTTTTGAAGTTTTAAGTTAGCTCCAGAATGCATAACTTTTATTTCAGTTATTTTTTCGAATTTTTTTAGATTACGAAATTTCTAAGTGTAACTATAGAGCATAAAGTTGGTACATGGATGGATTTTCAATCTTTCATGTGCAATCCTTGCAATCGGTAACTTCACATGTGAGCTTAGGGGCGGGTCATGGTCTATTATTGAAAAGGAAATTCTTTGTAGTTCATTTTTGAAAGAAACTTTGAAAGGTGAAAAAAAGTGATATTAGTTTCATTTTTAGTCTCTTTGTGTAAAATTCCCTTTTTACCTCGACTACTCGGCTACTCGGTTACAATATTTAAATAAATGGATTTTTAATGACATGATTTACGTAGATTTTTTCAAAATAATCTCACACCTTATAAATTACATAATTCATGATCTCAAAATAATCAGATCTTTTGTGGGTTCCGCGCTCACCAATTAATATTAGTTGCACAATAATCTTGAGATAATCTGGATTCATATTTCAATTCAGGGTTATTTTGTCAAATAATCTCACCAAATAATCTTCATCACTCAATCATGATCTCAAAAATAATTCGCCACATCACCAACTTAATCCTTAAATAATCCTATGGATGGAGATGCCCTAAGAACATCCACATTGATGCTACTTGAATAAATGGATTTTTAATGACACGTAGATTTTTTCAAAACAATCTCATACCTTCAAAATTATATCATTCATCATCTCAAAATAATCATATCTTTTGTGGGTCCTACACTCAGTAATTAATACTACCTTCACAATAATCTTGAAATAATCTGGATTCATATTTCAATCCCGGATTATTTTGTCAAATAATCTCACCAAAGAATCTTCATCACTCAATCATGATCTCCATAATCCACCACATCAACAACTTAATCCTCAAATAATCATATGAATGTGGATGCCCTAAGGGTGTCGTCTTCTATGAGGATTATTTTGATACAGGAATGATATTTTTTGAGATAATGATTGAGAAGTTGAGATTATTTTAAGAGATTATTCTGAAAAATAATCTTGTATCAAATTTTAAATTTGGATTATTCAAAATGATTCTCAAAATTCTTTCTCTATTATTTAGAGACTTAGTCATGGTATTGCATTTAATTGTCTAACTCCTAAAATTCTCCAAGGATCCAGTTCCTCTGTCTTACTTAGGCAGCCAAAGAGGGTGTCACGTCATTTTGAATCATCAGATAAAAAAATCAATGGCTAAGATGAGTGGGACCATTTTGGGCACAAATCTAGAGGCCTCTATTTTAATCCCTACCTTGTATTCTGCCATAAGGTAGAGGATCTCAATCCATTCTCCAAACTATTGGACACGATCACACAACTGTTGCAGGCCTTTTGGAAAAATTCTGCCCGTGCAAACTATTGGGAACGGCTTGGGGACGGAAATGTTGCGGGATGGTGACTGCTCATGGAGTAAAGAAGATGGTGGCACTGGCGGATCCTCATCAGGGGCGGATTTACTCATGGTTGAGTGGGGGCAGCTGACCCCAATAAGGGACCACTATATTCCTTTAATTTCTTTATAAATTTTAAAAGTCCAATATTTGCCCCCAATTAAAAAAATTGGTTGCCCCCAATAACATGAGATCCCCTGCCCGCGTCAGCCTAAGAGGCAACAAGTTAGCCCTTAGCCACACGCCGTTAATGGATATAAACCTCTTTACATTATTTTTAATTTCTTTCTATCAATTAATCAATTTATTGTTGCTGTGTTGACTTTGATTGCCTTTGATGGTTGGATACTTGTTTAGTTGTTTAATCCTTCGATCGGTATGTGATCATAGTTTTTTTACTTATTTAAGGTTGTACATTACTTCCTTCGTCCTTTAAAACTTTGCCAAGTTTGACCAGCACGTAGAATAATAAAGTAAAATTGTTTAATTGAGGTTCAAAGGAAACATAAATAACAGAAATCACAAATTAATTGATTAAAACAGAAAGTGACAAAGTTTTTTAGGACGACCAAAAAAAGAAAGTTGACGAAGCTTTAAGGAACGGAGAGAGTAGTTTTTAACTTCTATATAGATATAAATATTAAATAATATTATTAAACTTATTATAATGTCGTTAATTTATTTTAGGAGTATTGATTTCACCAATTAGATATAACTTTTTTAGAAGGATCGATCAGATTTAATTTAATTGATTTTACTAAAATAGTTATACATCTTTAGT